ACCTTCACACAGAAGGCAATTGATTAGTTTCAGTTTCTCCTCCCAGGAGAGATCCGATACTTTCCCTGGGATCAAACGGACCCGAGAATAAAGGAGGGGGTCAACCGGCGGGAAAGAAAGAATGAGAGAAAAGCGAGAGAGAGAGAAAGAAAGAACAAGCGCAAGAGATGGAGAGGCAGAAGATAAAAATAAAGCAAAAAAGGAAGGAAGGAAGGAAGGAAGGAAGGAAGGAAGGAAGGAAGGAAGGAAGGAAGGAAGGAAGGAAGGAAGGAAGGAAGGAAGGAAGGAAGGAAGGAAGGAAGGAAGGAAGGAAGGAAGGAAGGAAGGAAGGAAGGAAGGAAGGAAGGAAGGAAGGAAGGAAGGAAGGAAGGAAGGAAGGAAGGAAGGAAGGAAGGAAGGAAGGAAGGAAGGAAGGAAGGAAGGAAGGAAGGAAGGAAGGAAGGAAGGAAGGAAGGAAGGAAGGAAGGAAGGAAGGAAGGAAGGAAGGAAGGAAGGAAGGAAGGAAGGAAAAACTACTTGCTTAGCGCACTGGAAGAGGATTGCAAGAGGACAGGACGGCTGCTCTTTTTTTCCCGACAAACAAATAAAAATGAGTTTTAGTAGAACTTACATACTGCACATTTATCTGCAAATACACACATACAGAAAAACGAGGAATGATTTATGCTTGAATTTCTGTGAGCCTTTCTCTTCCCAGTGTTTACAAGGCGGGGCTCCATTTGCAAGTTGTACATCTGTTCACTTCACGTGACATTTTCATAAAAGCTTTAACATCTGGTCAAAATAAACCTCCTTCAGGTACCTGCTTAACTTTTCACATGTCAAAATCCCTTCCCCTCTGAAGCCCTCCTTTCCTCCACGGCTGCAGTCGCGTGTATTGCTCCTTTCTTGACTGCTTGTTTAATGACTCTGCCTCTGCCCGAAAAGAACAAAGCAACCCTAATCATGAGGGGGCGACCCCGACCCTTCCCAAGAGCATCCGTCCTCATGTCGCCCCCTCCCACCTCCAGATTTCCCTGCATTAGGAGGGCAGAGAGGGTCTTCTTCCCACCGCAATATTTCGCTTTGGGATTTCTGCAGCCCGGCAAACAGGATTTTCACCCCATCCCTCCCCCCACCCCCCACCCCAAGCGAACCCAGAGTCCTGCTCGGGCTAATATTTTGCACGAATGCTATAATACTCCCAAAGTGAAATGATCAGCATCTAATCGTCCCAAACCACTTCCGTTATTATTTCTGCTGTTATTAATCGCTGCCGATGTAGACCTTTGTAGCCGTCTTTATCCCAGGGCGGTTCATCTGAATTATTTTGGAGTAAAGTACTAATTTTCTTGCCCGCGTCCATACAGTGAATAAGAGAATTTTTGTAAAGTTTCTGCAAATGTAACGTCACCTCCTTATGAAAAGAGTGCGGAGGTGTCCGCTAACCAAGACAAGACGACTAGGTAGATAGAACAATGTAAGTGTTCTCTAGCGGGCGGAGGAGACAGGGAATTTCTAAGAGAATGGACAGCTCTTTCTCCGATCTGAATATTTAATTTTGTTTTGCGTTTTATTTCGAATTTTAAAACGGGTGTTACCATCATCATTAGGTTTCCGCAGCTTTATTGTTCTTGCTCTGTAAAACCGTTCTAAGCCTCCCGCAATGTCGATCGCTTGGTCCTTATAAGTGGCCGGCTTGTTTGCTTTTAAAAAAGAAAAGGGAGACTTTTCTACAAGTGATTTTAACCTGCTCCACCTTCAAGTGACCTGCCAAATGCTCCTTCTTACTTTATAGACATCTGGGAATTCCATACATGCCTTAAACTCCAATTACACACCTTCTTCAAAGGACACGTGCTTTGATTTGCCAAGAACATTAAGTGGACTGAAGTCGAAAGAAACTGGTGCAGAAGTTAATGTAAAATACATCCTGTGCCATGTTTACTGCGGGCAGGTTATGTGTGCAGCAAATAAAATAAGTCCTGATGGGATGTGGATGTGTGCGCCTCTTTTTATTCTTTTGCTTTAGCCTCCCGGATCCCTTTACGGGGTGGATTGGATTTGCCGTCACCACCACCACCACCCGCTTCCCAAAGATGCTAATTTATGGCGGGAGCGCTCTCGCTCTCCCGGCGGGTCTGCTGCCTGCCGGAGCGGGCAGGTGAAGGGAGAGCCGTGTGAACCGGGCTGATGCAGCCACCGAGAGCGACTGGAGGAGCCCCGGCGCCGGCAGCTGAGCCCGTTCCCGGGAGTCGCCGAGCCCCGCGGCGGCTCGCCCCGGGAGGCAGGTGCCCGAGCTTCCGCCGCCGCCGCAGGTGAGTCCCTCTCCCCCTGCGCTTTTCTGTGACTTTTGTGCCCCCGCCTTCTCCCTCCGTTTCCCCCCACATCCCCACGGCGCGTTTGTTTGTTTTTCTTAAAATTACAGATGCAGGGAAAACCGCCTGACATCATGGGAGCGGGACAAGAGCGCACTTTGAAGGGCTCCTGGGCAGGACTTCAAGTGAAATCATACGCCGGGGAGGAATCCGATACCGGCTTGGAGAAAGCAGCGGGGCGGCCCCTGCCAAACCCAGGAATGCGCGAGGGCCCGCGGCCGGCGCCCCCCGCCCGCCGCCCCGCAGGAGGCGCAGCGCCGGCACCGCCGCTCCGCGCCCCGCCAGCTCCGCCGGGGCCGCGCGGGCCCGCGCCTCTTCGCCTGCGAATAAGCGGGACAGATTGATGCCTCTGAGAAAACAGCGAAATCAATCAGGATTTGCAATGGCAGAGTTAATTTTCCGATTGCAAGAGTGTTTAAAATTCCCAGAAGGCAAATTAATATACACATTATTTCATTTTTCCTTCAGTAAGTCTGTCGCTGACTTAATCGCTTTTGGCTCTAACCCGGGGAGCACCAGGCATCTGCAGTCCCCAGTTTCAGCAAAGGAAAGGGTAGGCCCTGAGTTTTAAAACAGATTTATCTCTCTTTAATGATTTTTTTTTTTTTTTTTTTTTTTTAATGAGGCAGAGATAGCGGTTCTCAGCCGGGAAAGAGCACCGGCTGAGTGCCTGCTGCCCAGGAATGCTGCCGCGCCGGCAGGAACTCGCTCAGAGGGACACAGAAGTGAGAAAGGAAGACCTGCTGGCGGCAGGAGCCTCACGGATAGGAATTGGGGATTTTTCTCACTCGGGTGTTCAGCTTGCTGAAAAGGTGTTGCACCGGCTGGCCCAGAGGCCTCTTGCCGGTTGCAAAAGAGCCAGTCAGCTTTAAGTCCATCAAGCGGGGCCTCTCCCGATTTCTGAGGCCGAGCACGGTGTGATTCGTGGCTTTTATAGTGCACTTGATTCCTCGTTCATATTTCTCAGGAATCCCCTTCCACAAAACACGCCTTCTCTTCAGCATCGAGCATCTTGTCTGGTTGGTTATTTTTTCAATTCCCGGAACTTTTGTTCTACCTAAATGTGAGGAGTTTTCCCCACCTTTCCACCAAAGGGGGATTTCTCCCCCAAAAGGAATAACCGAAACCTTCTATAACCTCCCATATTCCCTTAGCTCCTCTGCCAAAGCTGCGCCTGCTCCCCGTGCCTCTCGCCTTCGCTGCAGCCGAGGTAACGCGGGCTGACATTACCTGCTCCTCGGCAGCCGACCGCATCGGAGCCGGGGGTCGGAGTCGCTGAGAAGGCAGCCGCGGGTGTCAGGGTGCCGGGGAAAGGCAACGACCCTTCGGGAACTCGCAGCGGCTTCCCCTCCTCTCCATCACTGAGACCTGCGACCACCAGGGCCGTCATCTAATTTTCAAGTGCTTGCTAATCCGTCAGTGCAAACAAGCGCTGCGAACTCTCTACTGTAAACATTGCGCACTGGTTTAAAATATGCCCGATATGGTATTCATAATAGTGCTGTGTGGGTAATACACGGCGACATGGGGATGTGGAAACAAATACAGGAAATAAAGTCAACTCATGGGCTATGCAAACAGGCTCTGTCTTGAAAAAGTACCCCATCCTATTTACCATAGACACTGGGCGGCAGAGTCCCTGTCTCCACGGAGGGCACTGCTCACCTCCCAGGGCGGCAGCGGTCCCCGCGCACCCGCGCACCTTTCGCGGCCGCGGAGGGGCAGGAGCCGCCGCTCCCCGCTCCCTGCCCGGCTGCCAAGCGCTGGGAGATAAGCAAGTGACAGCAGAGACCCAGTCAGCTGTCCGGTTATAAGGGCTGAGGTTTGGTTTGAGTTGTTATGTTTTCTGGCTTTTTTTTACAATTTCCCTTTCACCTTCCTTCCAAGCCCTTAGATCTGCAGATTCCCTCTTTTTTTTTTTTTTTTTTTTTTTTTTTTCAGCTCGGGTTCTCGCCGCATACTGGGACCCCGCGGAAAGTATGGTGAAAAGAAAGAGACAATATGCGCTCTACACGTAGAAAAGGAGAAGAGGGCGGGTTAGAATATCCCTCCGTGCTTTGCACAACGAAAATGCGATCGCTAGTGTATATATATAATATAAAACCCTAGAGAGCAGAGCAGTCAAACATCACTTCCACCGGAAAACCCAACTCGCTAGGCACTTCCCTATTTCAATCTCACTTTCTTTTACTTTCCCTTTGGATGGACGAATCCCTGTTTAAAACCGATGCCACTTCCTCAGGGATATCAGCAAAAGTACCTGCACCGGGGGCTGGGGAACGGGCCCGCTCCTGCCTTACATCTGAGGGCAAAACACGAAGGCAGGGATAGAGCTCTGCTGTGAAAACTCCGCTCCCTGCGCAACTCCGCCGTGCCTGGCGTGAAGATTAAAGGGGGAGAGGGAGAGAAAGAGAGAAGAGACAATACCTTCCTCTGCAGATGCAGTGAGTTTCGGCACAGAATAATAAAGCTGTCTCAATAAATAACGTGCCTGTGTCTGTCAGTAGCTAGTTTATTTGCGTTTTTCGCCTGGTTTGTTTATACTAGTGCCCCCTCTCTCTTGGGTGTCTTTACAGCTGAACAAGCAGGTATTTATCTACAGTTCTAACCCTGAGTTTTCAGAGAGACCAAACTTTCAGGTTATTAAAATTTCAATCATATTTATTTATTGCAGAAAAATAATATACAATGATATTTACAAAACAATCATAAAAATAGGAATGCATTTAGACACCGGATCTATTTGCATTTTAACATGGGTCATCAATAAATAAATAAAATGTTTATTTTTTTCTCAGAGGAAAAATAATAATAATAAAAAAGTTAGGAACCGGGTATATAACAGCTTGATCCCAGCTTATTCCCCCCTAAAAAAATTAAAAAAAAAATAAAAAAAGGTTTTCATCTCTACAGGGATATTTTTGGTTGGCTGCTTGGTTTCATTCAACAATGAAGAAAGTCCACAATAATGTATTTCCTTTCATCAGTGGCTCATAAGCACGACCTCTTGGGAATGCATGCATGCAAAAAAAAAATAAAATAAAAGGGCAAACAGAAAATAAAGTTCAATTCCAACATTCTTCGTCAAAATTAAAAAAAAAAAAATCGAACGATTCAGACTTCTATCAGAATGTAGAGATGTGTGGATTGTACCGACGCCCAGAGGGTAGTCACTGTCCAAAGCCCTTCTCTCTTTCTCTTTCCTTAAGTGCTCCCCACGCCCTGCTTTGAATTTGGATTTTATTCTTCTAATTTCCAAGAAATCCTTGGTACATTTTTTGGTTAGAAAATATTTTAAAAATCGTATCCAACTTCAGAGTCTCTAGATTGTCCATTCTCTCCTTCTGTGGGAACAATGTCATCTGCAAAAACCCAGAAAGGGCGGAAAACTCGTTACTGAAACGAAAGTTACACAAATATCTACCTACACCTCTCTGTCTCTGGAAATAACGCGTATCGGGCAGGAATGGAGAAGGGAGAGCTCGCCGGGCGGGCGGTGCGGTGGCCGAGTGACACCCCAGCCGGCGGTCCCTGGTGTCAGGGCCGAGGAAAGGGACTGCTGGGGCGGTAGGAAACCCTCGTCGGGCAGCACAACGGGAGGACATGGATTCACTTCAAAATACGAGCAGCACCAGCAGCACCAGCAGTGGCGGCAGCAGGAGCCATCCCAGCAGCCCTGCCGGCTCCGCAGCGTTTGGTGAAGAAGTGATCTCAGGCCGGCCCCATCTGGCTGGGGCACACCCGCACGGCCGCCGCGTCCCGCCCGCAGCCCGGGCGGCAGCGCCCGGCCACGCGTGGGCCCCGCGGGGCTCGGGGCGCACCTCGGGCCGCGCAGGAGGAGGGACAGGCCGGAGCGGGGGAGGCACCCCCGGCCGCCCCGCTCCCCGGCTGCCCCGGGAGGCCAGGCCCCTCCGGGCGGGGCGCGGGCCCTCTCGCCCCACGGGCACGCGTGCTCGGCTCACGGCGCGGCCGGCCGCCTCTTGCCTCCCTCCCCCCTTTCTTCGCGCCGGTTTCGGGGCCCCTGTCTTACCTAGGGCTCCTGCCGAGGGGATGCGGGTGGGGGACGCCGCCTGCTAGTGGGATGCGGACATGGACCAGGCGCCCTCCATTCTCCACACCGAGAAGGCGTAGCTGAGCCGCTCGTGGGCCACATAGCTGCAGCTTGCCATCTTGGAGTCCAGCTCGTCGCTCTGTAAGACCTGGTAGAGGAAGTCGATGTACCTGGCCGCCAGCTTGAGGGTCTGGATCTTGCTCAGCTTGTCCGAGGGCAGCGTGGGGATGATCTTCCGCAGGGCGGCGAAGGCTTCGTTCAGCGACTGCGTGCGCTGCCGCTCCCGCACGTTGGCCATGACCCGCTGGGTCTGCAGCTCCTCGTAGGACTGGGGGCTGCCGCCGCCGCTGCTGCTTCCGCCGCCCCCGCCGCCCCCGCCCGCCCCGCACTTCTTGCCCCGCTTGCCTTGGGCCGGGCTGCAGGGCTCGTCCGCGGCCCCGACGGCGCCGCCGGCGCTGCGGCGGCTGGAGCGGCGCTTGCGCCCCCCTCTCTTGTTGTTGGGCAGCTGCTGCCGGTCCGGCTCCTCTTCGCTGTTGCTCAAGCTGTCGTCGGCGGGGGAGACTGGAGAGTTTGACTCGTCCTGCTGCATCATCTCTGGGGGGAGACGCGAGAAGCGGGCCGGGAGGGGGGGGAGGGCAGGGAGAAGAGGGGGGCACCTAACCCGCCAGCTCCCCCTTGATCGGCTGCTTCGCTGGCCTGCGAGGAGAAGGAGGAGGGAAGGAAGGAGGGAGGACCTCACTTTGGGGGGAGGGGGGATGGCATCAGGATCCAAGAGGAAAAAAATAAAAAGGCCAACCAAAAAAAAATATCCCTCCCGATCCCTCCTTGGAGCCCCTTCGAGGTGTCTGGGATTGGGAGAAAGTTGAAGACTTGGAGGTTCTTATAGCTCCTGCTGGCGGAAAGTTTGGGGGCAGCAGTGTCATTGGCCTGACGTGGAGAGGAGGGACTTTTGCTGAGTTTTATAGGAAAGTTTCCGCTTCCCCCCCTCCACGCCCTCCCCCAATTATTTTTTTTCAAGCCATTCACAAGTGATCTGGCTTCCCCACAGGCATGCACATACATCTCTACCCCAACCTCTTTCTCCGTTTCCCTCTCCGTGGTTTCTCTCTCAAACTCCTTCGGTTAGCGCTCGGCTTTGGGGTGGTGCTGAGGGCCGGGCCGGGAGGTTATAGGGGTGCCCAGCACCCCGTGCGCTGCTGCGGGAGGGTCAGCGAGCCGCTCAGAGCCTGTGCTGGGGACAGCCGCCCGGAGCGGCCGGGGTAAGCCCGCACCTCTCGGGCTTTCTTCGCCGCAGCGGACACGGCTTGTAGCAAAAAGGAGGAAAAGGGAATTACCCGCGGCGCAGCATCAAGGCGCATCCTAATTTTGACCCTCTTTAGCACACGCCGCCCTTCCCAATCACTGTGCGCCTTGGGATCTGACTTGCGGAGGGAGTCGCACATTTCTGGGCTTGGGGAGGGGTGATGGCACAGCCTCGTCCTGCCAGGCTGAAGGACTAAGCTCGGAGAAAGCCATCTTCAGAGGTGGAAGCCGCTGGGAAACCAAGTATTGGTTCGTATATGCATAAGCACTAGTCCCTGAGCTCGGCTTAAGAGCAGCCCGGGAGGATCCGCGTCACCAACCGGCACACCGGGAGACGGGAGGGTATACAGACCCTCTCTGCCCACACTCAGTGTGTCCTGACCACTCACTTCAGTCCGTCCTCCCACAAGGCGCCCGAATCCGGCACTTCCTGGGAAAAGAGATTATTTATTTTAATTTCTCTTCTATGTCTGCAGCCAAAGCTGTTTCTTCCCATCCCCCGCCTTTGTGCCTCCTTCCCCGCTCGCTGGCAGCACAGAGCAGGTGGTGTGTCTTTTAAACAACAGCTCAGATTCAAACGGGGAGCGCCTGAGAGGGAAAGCTAGAAATTGCCATCCATCAGTAAACGGGGCGAAGTTCTCTCTGCGCCCTGCGTGTACCGCGCTCCTCCGCTGCCGGCCTGGCAGCCACCGCCCGGACGGGCACGGCCGGCGCAGTGCGGAGCGGAGCTGGCAGCGCCGGCAGCGCAGGGGCTCCCCGGCTTGTCTGAGGTGTGAGGGCGGACAGGGCAAACGGAATGGCAGAGGAGCGATAAATCCCAGGCATGAAATAAAACAAGGCTTGTGGAAGAGCACTGACATCTTCTCCGGGGAACAGAGACGTCTCTCTCCTCTACCTGAGGACTGACTCGCCTTCCTCCGAGCAGAGGCGTCTCATCCCGGGAGCTGGCAGGGACCAGGACCCTGCTTGGCCGCCGCCGAGGGGCAGCTGCCCGCCCATGGCCCTGGCCCCGGCCCCGCTGCAGCGCCCGTCCGGCACCCGCCGCCTCCGGAGCTATCCCGACGCTTCTCCGTTCGCTGCCCCTCTCGGCGAGCTCCCCTCCTTGGATTTCCATCCCGGGGTGCGAGCACATAGCAGTCTGCCCAAAACCTTCTCTTTTGGGAAACAGCTGGAAAAAGGACCGGGTAGGAAACAGGGACCGCCTTAGCCGGCAAGGGAAGGCACGCCGCACGCAGACCCACAGTGAGCCTGCATGGCTTTCTCGGCTTTCGGCTTGTCCCTGCTGTGTCAGGCCTCTTCATTCAGCTTAACACTGAGAGCTTCAGGGGTTCTCTTGTGTTGGCAGCAGCTGCTGATCCCAAGGTAAGAATAGCTGGCTCTCCTTTCACCTCCCTTTCACCAATAATTTTGTCTGTATCCAGAGCCTCACTGCTCCTCTGGGGTGTTGAGCAGTGTCATTACAGAATTAATGTTGGAAACAGTAGTGATGAGCATCTGTAGGTGGCTCTAGGGGCCTTCCTTCCTTCCTTCCTTCCTTCCTTCCTTCCTTCCTGCCTGCCTGCCTGCCTTCCTGCTTTCCTTCCCACCTTCCTTCCCTCATTCTTCTTATTGGAAATATAAAAATCACAGGGCAAAACCAAACCTGGATAGCTATTACCTTGCTGGGAACAGGATAGTGCCTGAAAGGAGGGAGGGGCAGCACCTTCTGAGCTGATTTGGCAAGATGCACGACTTGTCTGGGTAACCTGAACTTCGAATGGGATGCAGGACATCACCTGCTTGTCATGGGGCAGGAGGAGGGTGTGTGGAGCAGGGTGTATGGAGAAGTCAAGGATAGATGGGGAAGTAGTGTTACATGGTTTATAACAATAGAAAACATGGAGAGATGTAGGGATGGAGTTGAGAGAGGAGTAGTTGACCATAGTAGATGTCTGGGCTTAGTGTTAGCTACTCTTTGTGTAAACTGCAGCAAAAGCAACCAGCAGTGTTTAGCAGGACTCATATGGTTCTACCTGTGACCAGCACACTGCTGTATGAACCAGGACAGCACAACCCTCCCCCTCTCACCCCTTTCATCATCTTCATTTTGGGTTTTGGTTTAGCTCTGACTCCGAAATTATGGGCTCAGGAGCAAAGGCATATATATAAGCCTATGATGTTACTGTCAAGACTCACACAGGAGTGCAGGGTCCAGAGGAGCTGTGGTGGCAATGATCTGTCCCGAGGGACTTGGGCTGGGCTGGGCTGGCTGTGGGAGCCTGCCTGGATCCCCCAGGCCTGCTGGCAGGCAGCAACCCTGCCTAGTGCTGGAGTGTGTGGAGCTGTGTTGGGAGGGGGGTGGATGTGTCAGAGAGCCATGTCTGGGGTCTGTGTGTGAGAGAAAGGCATACTGGTGTGTTTATATGTAGGGATGTGTTTGTGTGTGCATGCATGTACTGTTGATCTTTTTCAGTGTGAGCACATATATATGTCAGAAGGGAAGGGGAGTGAAGTCTGAGCAGAGATTAAAGAAAATAAATTAAATTCTGGTTTATTTTGAAATCTACAATTCTGATGAGGATTGAGATGAAGCCCTTGCATTTCACACTAAAATAATTGTATTTTAGTTATGCAGTGTTAAACCATCTGTTTTGAACCTCCACTAAGTCACTAAGGTAGTTCTTCAGGCCACTTTAGAGCATGGAATAAAGGACATCATGTCCTGTTTTTCTCTATACATAGTCTTGGCTTAGGTAAGAACTCTCCTGACGCCATGGGCAGAATTTCAACCCTGTTTCATTCTTTGGCAGTAGCAAGCAAAACTGCAAACAGGTCCAGGACCTTTCTAGAGATACTTCCAGGTCCATTCTTGCAAGCTTCCCTGGGCCTCAGCTCGGGAAAATATGTGTCATGGGATAAACTCTTGCACAGAACACTGGCAGGACCCAGAACACTCCAGCATTTTGTCACCTCTGCAGAAAGGTACAACCCTGGTAAAGCAGCCATCTAGATTGCAGGTATGGCTGTGAACAGAGCTAAATAAATGACAAAGTCCTGGTAGGAAGAAATGAGGAGTAAGCTGGTCTGTGACGATCACTGTAGTTATGGTTGATCACAGAGAATTAGCTGTAAAGGGATGGCCCCACCTTGATGCCAGCCCTTCTGTAGGCACCCATTAACTGTTGAGACACTCACAGGATGGGACAAGCAGTATCTGCCTTAGCCAGGTAGAAACATCATGACTTTTGTGGGGAGTAGGTCAAAAGGTTGATTCTTTACTTGATTTCAAAGAATGAATGAATGAAAGGCCGAATTTTGTCTTCCCGTTTATAAATCAGTGCAGAACATTAAGAACTAGTGTGCTCAAGATCTAGTGGTTGAAACTACAATGTTGCCCCTCATCAATGTGTTAAACAGATTGCGCATACACAAAAATTACAGCTGGACTGCAGTAAGGCTGTTCTGTATTCCCCATACAGCAAGCACATACACATGTAATTTAGGTCACAAAGGCTGCTCACTGTGGTAAAACTCTCACTGCTCCGATTCCTTGGAATAGTGAGCAATGTCTCTAGGCATGCAATGTTTTTGGTGCTGAAACCTTCAATCGGGTGTTTTCTCAGAGCTTTTACCTTTATGTTGCAAAGACCACGGAAATCAATCAAAGTTTCCCTGCTAGTTTCTGTGGCCAGGTATACTATATATAGAATCCTATGGATTCTAGGTGAAAGCTGGTTCAGGACCATACCCCTTCAAAAGGGATGAGAGAGCACCTGGCAACTTTGCCCACTGGAGTTTATGCTGTCATTTGCTCCCTGTAGAAAGCACACTGAGAAGCAGGCTGACAACTCTCACTGTGCCCTGGTACAGATTTCTGCTCAGCAGCAGCAAACGGGCAGAATGAATATATAAAGGGTATGAGAGCGGGACCCAGTTCTCCTCTTCTTTCACCTTTTTTCCTTCCTATCACCGCGGCAGCTCATACAACCAAGGGCGCGGAAAAGCTGACAAGCATCTCCCGTCGTTCGTCCTCCCTACCTGGGCCCGGCGTGGGGCGGCGCGGCTGGGCTCTGCCGGCGGGGCTGGGGCTGGGGCTGGGGCTGGGGCGGCTCTGCGGGGCCGGGACGGGCTGTGCGGCCGGCGGCCACCGGAGGGCACGATTCCCCGCAGGACACCGGAGGGCATCATTCCCCGCAGGACACCGGAGGGCACGATTCCCCGCAGGACACAGGAGGGCATCATTCCCCGCAGGACACCGGAGGGCATCATTCCCCGCAGGACACCGGAGGGCACGATTCCCCGCAGGACACCTGAGGGCACGATTCCCCGCAGGACACCGGAGGGCATTATTCCCCGCAGGACACCGGAGGGCACGATTTCCCGCAGGACACCGGAGGGCATCATTCCCCGCTCGCCCCGCTGCCCTCCAGGGCGGGCCGCTGCCGCCTCGACCGGAGCCCGGTCAAGCTGGGTCACCCGAGTTTGGGGTGAGGTGCTGCCCGCCTGCTCCCGGCCCTGCTCTCTCGTGTTTCAGCGAGCCCCGAGGGTTTTTTCTCTCGGAGGTGGCCCCACGCGGCCGCAGCGGG